GCTTACCCTGGCGAGCCGTGTGCCAGAGGTTGCTGACCCCTGCCTTAGACAACTGGAAAATTATTTTAGGGGATCCAGGCCCCTAAGGGTCAGTGACCTTTCTCTTTCATTTTTACTAGGTTTTCATGACTTTTGACATTTTTACCATGACAAAATTACAGCCAGGACATGTGCATCCAGCAGGCAAACAGGTCAGGATTTATCTTTGTAGATCTACTGTATCTGTTTGAGACTCATGCCTCTCTTCTAAAAACAATCAGGGATGATTTTCTGCCACAAGAAACAGCTACTAAATCTTCTCTTTGCCTTCACCTCAGCTCAAAGGAAACCACAAAACACACCTTTTCTTTTGCCCTGCACACTTACCGTAGTTCAATGCTTCTTCCTGTTCAACTTACAACTCCTCCCCTGCCCCGCGCCACCACATAACAATGCAGTACTTTGATTTGATCTCTCTATTACAAATAGTGTATATGCAGGAAGAGTCAGTAGCCATTGGAGTTCACAGATACTGTCCCAACGCCAAAAGACCAGTCTCTTACCTCTTAGACTCTTGTCTGTCACACCTTTATCGCACTATACTGCTGTCTGATATGCTTTCCCCTGCCTGTGCAATGCCTAAATGTGCCTTCTTGAGCACAATACGGCCTGGGATTTGTTTTCATTGCCCACCAGAGATTCATGGTTTTGCAGAAAGGGGGTCTGAAAACAGGAGTAGCGTATGTGCCATCCAGCATTGCCTGGCATAGGGCCTGCTGCTGCTCCACTGAAATCACTTGGATCTTTGCTACAGTCTCTAATAGAGGCTGAATCAGGCCCACAGAGAAGAGCCATTTATGGGTCACGTTCTCTGTTGGTGTAAATGGAAATAACTTAATTGAAGCCTATGGACACGGCTTATTTACACCAACAGAGAATTTGGCCCTATGTCTTCAGGATGTTCTAAGTATCGCCCAGCTCCTGCCTTTCAAGGACATGACCCTAGAGAGGTTGTGGGAACAGATAGGGCTAAACAATTCAGGGATACAACATGGGTTGGAAACTTCTGCTGCCAATCCCTGTTCAATTCCATCTGTCTACTGAGGGCAGTGTTTATTGCCTTAAATATTGTACCCAGGCAGGTGATGGGTGTAAATAACGAGAGAGAGGGAAAGAAAATGAAAGAAGAAAAAAACATCTAATTTTGTTCTACAAAATAATGAGCAAAAGAGCTTTAGAAGATAGAAACCCACTCATTCCCCAAGACTTTGTTCCTCGTAACTGACAGGGTACTAACTCTTTAAAAGGAATAGAGAGAGCACTGCAAGTGATAGAGAGGTGACTTTCCTCTCCACAAAGAAGATCTCCATCAGCAGACTGACAAAAACTAATGGGAAGAAAATAATAAAAGGAGTTGAATAGGACCAATCTTTGATTTTTTGGGGGGGTGGGGGGAGAAAGGGGGGATGGGAAGCAGGCGGGAGGTGGGGGGGTGTAGGATGGGAAGGCACTGTTACATGAAAGAAATATTCTTTGCCTTCAATTGCAATGTTTTCCCAAGCTTGTCGTGTTAGCAGATTCCAGGGGGGCAGAAATCAGTTTTAAAGTATCGCAGGAATCCTGCAAAACTTTTAATTGCCAGGCATCTATGCTCTGTGCATTGTAGTTGAGTGTGGGCCCAGCCCTACATAGCGCGGAGTGTCCCGATGGCCAACTGAAGTCAGTGGCTTAGCCCCGGACAAAAGTCATTTGGCATCTCCATGAACCAAGTCCTGAGCCCAAACCCAGCACGTGAGACCAGGGAGGAACTAGAAGAGCCACGTTCTGCCCCGACCATGTTGAGTATTACCTTACTCTGAAAGAAGTCCCATTGAAATCAGTGGTATAGCTTGCAGAGTAAGGTACTACTTAGCGTGAGTAAAGGTCGCAAAATCTGGCTCAAATTATTTCAAACAATAATAGTGTGATACATCCTGTGCAATGCCTAAATGTGTCTTCTTGAGCACAATAGGGGGATGATATTATCTTCATTTTACTAAGGCACAGGAAGGTTAAGGGACTTGCCCTGGGTCACACAGTAAGTTGGTGGCAGAGCTGAGAACTGAACCACAAATCTCCCAGTCCTGTCCTTTTATCACAAGACCAAAATTTCCCTTTAAAACACGCAACCCATTAGGGAACAAACTGAGGACAAAACAGAAAAGGTTTTGAAATTTGCTGCAGAGGACACAGTATGATAAATGTGTTTCAGGGCTGCTCTCTAGAGAAACTGGAAACAAAACAATGAATCCATGATAATTCACACCTTGGGTTATTGTCCTCTGTTTAAAGAAGTTGTTAAAAATTGACTTAAGTTACATGGAAATAGCACACTTTTAGTCCAAAATAAGAGTGTCCACACGGAGAACTGAACCAAAATAACTAAAGGTGTGAATCACAGCCATCCTACTTACTTTGGTTCCAGTTTCTGTCTAGACAAGCCAAAAGTGAACGCTGAGTCCTACTGAGAACTGAAGCAACGAGAACCAGCCATGCTGTTTTTTCAGAGTGGTTTCATGTTCACATACGGTGTCTCATTTTCCCTTCTGATCTATAGGATTGCTGTAGGATCTGAAAGATCTCATCCTGTAGGATTTGACCATGCATCTTTGAACTTGAATCTCTAGAGATGAATGGTTAGTACATTAATTCACTCTACCACCTCATCCTCCCTGTTGTTTATAACTAAATTGTATTCCTGGGACCCCAGCAACCATGTTCTAATTAGATCCCTTTGTGGTGTGTTTCATTTGGTCATTTATTTTATATCCTTTCTAGCTCAGTTTCTTGAAACTATGCTCACCAATCTATAAAGCCTGACAGCCAGTAAGCTTTTTACTTGGTACATATCTCTAACATTTATGTTCATTGAATAAAACTGCTGAAGGAACTTTGCCTTCCCTAAGGTGAAGAGGAATTTACCGAAGTTACATCTACATAGAAGCAACTACAGCTAAAATAAACCCCTATGTATTTTTCATACGTAAGATAAAAACGCAAAGGGGGATTTTTGCTCAAGATGACTGGCTAGACAACCCAGTCTTGCAGATATTCACTGTTTCTCCTAAGTGATGCCACATACGAGGCCTGCAGGTGCCACATTTCAAATCATATGAAATTACAAGTTAGCAAGCGCTCTCTCCCCATGGGCTCAAATACTATTTCTTAAAGGCTCAAAATAGGACACAGGCTGGAGGGGAATTTTATACTCTCTGAAAGGGAATTTCTGTGTTCACTTAGAATGACATATGTGATCTTTTCTCCCCTCAAAATGTCCCTGGAAAATTTTTATAATTGAGGACATGTCTATTATATCTGCAGCCCCTCTTGTGTGATACCCTAGTCAACATCTGCTTCAGACACAAATAGAACCAAGAGCTCCATGCTTTCCTCCAGCACTCATCATTCTAGTGCAGCAGTGTCCAGAAACAGGGGACACTCTACTTTTGAATAATTTGCAATTCTCTGCCTGCCACTCCCACACAACAAAATTCCAGATGCTAAAATAATCCATGAGCACTCCTTTCAAAGCCAGTTTAAGCTGAAACAGGTTCACAATCTCCTGAATGTGCAGTTTCATTTAAAATGGTTTTATCATCGCCTGGATTTGCTTTGTGTTCTTCTTCCCATGTGATTTGAGACTGATTCCAAGCAACATTTCCCAGTTTCTGCATCAAGTTCTATTTCCTTGTGCTACCTGTTCTTCAATTCTCCTTCATCCCTGATAAATAGCATCATCCAACAGACCAGCAGGACTAGGGCAATATTTTAGATTTCCTATAATAGAACTCAATTTTTGTTTCAGGCAAAGTGTAATTTTGTCTCAATCAGCAGTCAGTAACCACATCGCCAATTAGATTGAAGTACACTTTACAACAAAATATGCAAAATGACTGAGAAAAAATTCACCACACAGACAGAAGCTCGATTGTGGGTAAAATAAATATAACCGATGCATCCTTCAGGCTGCAGCATTGATTATTATTTATTATTACAAACTCTTCAAAACAGGATGATTTGATGTCAACATGTTATTTTAGGAAGTGCACAATTGAAGAAAGCATTCTTTGCATGGATTGAGTCATAAAATATGTTTGCTAAGAAGAGATGTGCACTTTTATTTGAAATGATTTTGAATAATAAAGAGGAACTAAGACAATCTTGAAGTATGATAGTTGGAAAGAACATCCAAGTTTGTAAACAGGTTTCAATTAAGAAAGAATCGTTTTTTGTATGAGGCTAGAGTTTCTCTCTCTCTCTTCTCTTTTTTTCTTCGTGTAAAGTAAAATTCTATCTGGCTGAACTTAAAAAAAAAATACAGAGTACTAGCAAATTTAGGGTCACTCTCTCAGCTGACTTTGGAAACTCCTTGTGCATAGCAAGAATCAGTACTGTCTACTTGCATTGATCTCCTTTCCAAGCAGAATATCATCATGCCTGATGTGACATATGGAATGAGAAGAAAGTAATAATGAAAATCAATGAGTCTAAATATTCTCTGCTTTTAACTCCCCAGTCAGTCTCTATGGTTGTGGGTTTTTTTCCCAACTGCACCTTCTTGTTTAATTCATATTATCCACAGTGCTATACAACAATATCTCAAAAAATTACAGTGTCAGTTGAAAAGACACAAACATTCAAAAAGAATTTTTCTCTCTCTGTATACACACACACACACAGAGAATTTCTTTTCGAATGTTTGTGCTTTTCAATTGAGTTCAGCTGACACTGAATTTATATACACACACCTCAGATGGATAGGGCATTGAATTGGGACCGAAGGTTCAATTCCCGGGTCTGCTGTGTGACCTTGGGCAAGTCATGTCCTTTCTTGGGCCTCAGTTTCCCCATCTGTAAAATGGGGATAATGATACTGCTCTCCTTTGTAAAATGCTTTGAGATCGACTGTTGTAAAGCTCTATATAAGGGCTAGCTATTAAGGTTATTATTATTATTATTATAGTGTTTCCTAGAAGTGCCAGACACAATCAGGGCCCTGTTGTGCTAAGCACTGTGAAACCAGAGTAAGTCCCTGCCTCAAAAACCTGACACATGAAAATAGCCAAGACAAACTCCACAATCAAACACAACGATAGACTGATATCCACCTGTACAGAATAAGGGCCCAAATACAGAGATGCAAAGAAAAGAAGCCATTAAGCCCATACTACTGCAAAAGCTCAGTCTTCGGGGTAGTGAGAGGGGTTCACCATTGTTACCAACCTCTATCCTCTACCCACGATACTGCCAGGGTGGACAGCTGTGCCTGCGAACAGAATTCACATAAGTTCTGCCAGTGGGAACCTTGGAGGGGAACTGCTGCATCGGCCTACTGCTACTGCCCTCATCGCATGGTTGTCAGTGGGAATCTACAGCTTCCATTTACAGGAGAGAAGCAGGAAGTACACTGTAAATGGACGTTGTAGATGCTTTGCTACCCCAACCAGAACTTTCTCCATCATTAGGGGCCTCTGCCTATATTAGCATACACCAGCCCTGAATTTGGCCCCAGAACGAGCGGGCCATAGATCCTTTATTGTACTTTTCAACTTCTCATCACCTCATAGAAGTGATTTTTTTTATGATGATGATGTCAATATGAAGGAGGGGAAATCTAGTAACTGCTCACTATTTAGGTTTCCATACTACTACTACTATGTTCAAGAAATTCAGGATCACTGACGATACCTAGCTAAAAACCTTCAAGTGTTACATTTATATAGCTATATATGTGTGTCTATTTATTTCCCTTTAGGAAAAAAGCCTAACTTTTTAGTGCTTGCATGATTCCAAATATTCTTCTGAAATGCTTCTAAAATCATTTTTAATTTTCAATTAAACGTGCAGGAGATTTTCTAACAACTTTCAAAAGAGCCAAGGAACAAATCTAGTTGGGAAAACCACATATAATTTAAAATAAAAATTGGCTATCACAAAAAAAATGTGCCTTTTTAAATATTCAAAGGCACTCAATATACTCTACAAAAGCATGTGCACACAGAAGACTGAAAATTAGTTAAGTATAGTGGCTCAGATAATACATTGATGAGGATGATAATAAATAAATATTCATTTTTTTGGTGTATCACAATGAATTTACTTTCCAATTCAGGAGTGCTACACTAGGAAGGAATCTGGCACATTGTGTTTGGATGTCTAACCCATTAAGGCTTCTTGAATCAGTTGTTACGTAAAAAGAGGAAAAGGAAAGAATTGTATTTAAAAAGTGTATTTCTTTAAAAGCCCAACTTATCATTTTAGGTACCTAGGAAGTAGCAGCTTTTGTCCTTTTTCAGGAGCAATTCTAAAGTATTACAAAAGCAAACACCCTTGTGCGTTTGGCTGCACATGTATTCTCTTAACAGTTCACCCTATTTCATGCAACAGAAAGAATTATTTCATTGACCGGTGTAGGATCAGCAAACTATGTAGTTTCATCGAGTAGTGAGGGCACGATCCTGTATACTGTGACTATACATAAAGGGTCGGAGAGGGCTCCTATGTGCTGACACAGGGGTTGGAGTGAGCAACGGCAAGACCGGTACCTTTGTTATTATCACCAGCTATTTACCCCTATGATGGACAGGCTCCTGGAGCCGTCACCACAGAGCAGGTCTGTGGCCTATGCAGGTGAAAGATGATTCCTCCTACTGACCCCTGCAAAGTTTCCCAGTGTCAAGTCCCTCTATTTGGGCTAGGCGTGGAGGACACGATTTGCCCCGAAGGCTTTCAGAGCTTCATTTAGAATGTTATGACTCACGACAAACACGCTGCTCTGATTGACATTCTGTACAATCCCACTGACTTTTCCCCTTATTGGGGTGCACGGAGTAACAGTCACTGCAGAATCTGGATCTAAGAGGCGCTTTAAATATTTCTTAATTGAATGCCCAGTTTAGTATAATATAAACCCAGCAATTTGATTTACCAGTACTTTTATCCCACTAAAATTGTGTGCTACAAAATGTGAGCCTAGAGTCCATGGTTTGACCAGATATTCAAGACCTCAAGCTCTTAGGGATTTGGCAGAGAATAAATATAATGCACTGCTGCTCGTGAAGGGGATGGTAGCAGATATAGACCCACAGTACTATTCCCTGATTTTAAAGAATCAGTGCTTAGACATCTGTTCTGGAGTTATAGTAAAACAGCTGAAAATTAAATAGCTTGCAAGTAGACCATGTCACTGATAAAAACAATGTTTTGTTTTTAAAGGTTTATATTTTATAATGCCAGGAAGAAAATTCTTTCTTTTCCTTTCTCATTTTTTTTTCTGAATTAAACTTCTTTAATGCAAGAGAGGAATTTATTAACTTCAAAGTTGCATAATGACAATAGTTCTTTGATCTTGAATTCCATCAAATTTCAGGTCAGCTTGGGAAAGGCAATGAGCAATTTAGTTCAATAGTCAGTGACCTAAAACCAATGACTGAGTGCCTTAAAAATGATACTTCAGCTTTGGAATGACAAAACTAGGGAGACTGACAAAAGTTGCACAGTGTTCTACACCAAGACAATAAATACTGGGCATATAAAGCTAAATTCCTGTTAGCAGTACAGGTGCTGGCAAAACAACGAATTCTCAAGAACAGGCTTATCAGCTGGAAAAAAAAAGGGGGGAACAGAGTCTTGTGTAATCTATAACCTTTATAAGTACAGCATATATAGGCATATTAAATAGAAAACAAAGACTACATTCACATATTGAACAATAGAATTGCAGGAATACATATCATTCTCCTATAATCTGCAAACATATTCCTTGGATTCCCCAGCTAAAATGACACATGCACAAAAGTATTCCAACAACTAGAAACAGTTAAAATTTTAAATGAAGAGAAATTCTGAGAATGTATTGGGTATATGACATTTGGGGGTCCATTGTGCGCTGTGTCACTCCAGCAAACAAATTAAAATTGCAGTAAATAGGGGTCTTTGTCTTTAACTGAGGAAGAATGTGTGTGCATTTGATCTTGACTAGCATTGCTCCTGCAGATTCCCAAGCATAAGACAGATGGCAGTGCAACCAAGCTAGAATATCGGCCTGCTCGCTCCCCCTGGGTCTAACTCCTATTATCCACTTGTAAATTAACCTGTCAATTTATCAATCAACACCATCTTGATTCTCCCCTGTTCCACTGCCCAGCATTGCAGTGAATTTGCCTCGTAAATAACTGGGAGCCCCATGTTTGTTAGTATTGTGAATGAGTTTATTATCACTTTGATGACTGCTATGAATCACAAATGCTGCCGAGAGCCTGATAAGAAAAAAAGAGTACACTCACACATTAACAGAGTTGAAACTATTTGGGAGATAAAAGATGGAGTAACAATGATAGCAAATCATTTCAATTGGGGAAAAAATGGACTAAAATTGTATTTTTTTGTGTGTGTTGGGCAACTCTCTGCTAAAAGGGAAAAAAATAAAAAGGAATAGTTTCATCTGTAATGCTCAGAAGTGTCTTCGGTGCTACATTGCGGGGCTGTGGCAACTTGCTCCTAGAATTTCTGAGAGACTATTAGATTGCATGGCCTATTTTCAAATTTCAGAAGAAAAAAAGCTGTTCTTTTAGATGCAACAAGTATTTATGTTTATGCTATTTTAATACTATTCAGAACTGTAAGTAAGTTATGATAAGGAAAAGCCAATGCGTTTAAACCAAAAATAAATACAAACAAAACAGTAGGAAGGGAGAGGACTATGGATTAAAGACAGTGGTTTCAATACTGATCACTTATAGAAAATGCACTAAAATAACAATGTGACTATTTGTTAATTATGCAATTGTTTTGTTTTTCTTTTGAAAAAGTTTCAGAGTATTTGTTCAAATGAGTTAACTTTGTTCTGATTCAAAAAATGAAGGACTGTAATGTCAGATGACAGCCTAAATGTAACATACCTTAATGACTTTAAATGTTTTGTAGTATTACATAGTATGAAAAGTACAATTGATTTTTACAGATTTGTGTTCAAAAACTCACCTAGTTCAATAACATAGCAAAGACTTTATAAGGTAATACATGTGCCTTTGTAGCCCATTGAAACATGTACCTCAAATCTAAGTAAGTGACAGATTAGATGTAAAAGTTAGAAATAGCTAAGCCTGTGTGACTCATATTTTGTATTAAATGTAAAATCATGTTCTACAGAAGTTACATTTGGAACTTAAAATCATAATATAAATGTATGTTTATCTAGAAAGTTAGATCACGATAAGCAAAAAGAAGCAAAATCTGTTCTGTTTCACCAGTGTAATGCCAGTGAAACCACTGAGCAAGCAATGGGTAAAGAAGGGTAGATTCTGAACGTAGGTTTATATGTTAAAAACAAAAACTCAGTTACAGACTTTCAAAAGAAACCAACAAAATTATCTTGCTTCATTCTTTACATTCTGCTTCTTTACCCTGCTAGTTATTTCTCGTTTATTCATCTCTTATCATATTCTTTTAGCATCAATAGTATTTTTAGAGTGCTACCGAGAAGTTAGTGGCAAACTTCAGACAACTTTTTCATTTTACTTTGCAAAATATCCTGTAAAATCCAATTATTTTATAAAAATGCACTTGGTTTGGACTGATACACTATCTATACTTTTTTTTTTTTAGATCTATTTTAGTCAAGTCTTTCCAATCCACCGACAGTTTCTGGGCCTGATTCTGATCTCAAATCCTGCATAAATCAGGAATGATTAGTGATGCCAGTGGAGTGTCACAGTTGTAGAAGTGGGGTAAAATTAGATCAGAACGAGGATCTATATTTATAACTACAGAATGTGTAATTTGTAGTAGATTAAGATTTAAAAACCACAGCATTTACAGAACTATTTCTCAGAGGTTTTGTGTATCTGTACTGCAAATCTACAACACACACTTGGTGGAACACAAGTGGTAAACAACACAAATGCACACAGAGAAGTAGTTGTCATACAATAAAATCTCGGGCACAATTAAGGTAAAGGAACAGGATGTATGTTCAACATTGTTATGCCCAATATATCATTGGTGGAAAAGTAATGGAAAGTGAAATTATTTGTTAGAATGCAATTTAGGGAACCTGATAGGTTGTCCATTTTATTCAATTTATAATTAAGATAGTGTTTAAATTTGAAATGAATTCTATATATGCATGTTCAATAGGCTATAGCACAACAATAAGAATGGAATCACATCTCATTTTATCATAAATTGTGTAATAAGCGATAAGGTAAAAACTAGGGCTACAATCCTTCCAGCAAAAATGAAAGAGAGCGACCTCAATTGCCCTAATTCATTCTGCTTTTTTTTTTTTAGTCTCTTCATTTTCCCTCTGTTCACATTATTAGCTTACACATGAGTGCATTATTAGAAAATAACAAAGCCAAACGGGGAGCCTTGGAAGAAGTAGGAGATAGGATCCCCTCTACAGCTGAAAAGTATTCTCATTTCATTTGTTAGGAGTTGCAAAAATAGTTTTATTGCCAGGGAGGGACAATGACCTCTCTCTTTCAACAAGCTTGGTGGTTGGTCTTTTGATGGAAAAAACAAGGGGATACAACATCTGGTAATTTGTGTTACCGGGCTTAGCTGAAGGTCTTAACGATGTAAGCAGATTATTTCTGAAGAAGAACAAAAAAAATTCCGGAAGACTCAATGAACTATTTAAAGTTATTAGCCGGTGCATTCTGGCACTTCAGCACTCTTTTTGGATTCCTTTTCTTTTTAGAGGTACGCCTTGGGAGCAGATTGTTCTAAAAGGAGTTCTACCACCTTCCAACTCCACAGCACTTTTCTGGTGGTCCTTGCGTGTTCCATCATGCATGCTGGGCCCCATTTTTCCCCCTCCATTGCAATGGAGACAATTATTTTTCTGATTACGTTTTCTCCTGCCGAACATTAAGAAGCCTGTACCACCCGTTCTGGGCAGGGAAGGCTGAACAACGCACATAGCAGCAGTCGACCTCAGATTTTAAACAGTGGGGGGGGGGAGAAAAATTGATGGGTGGAGAGTGAAGAAAAAGATAAATTATGTGTTCACATGTCCAGGAATTTCAGGCTGAAAAAAAATGCCCTAAGGAAAACATTCTTCGCTTCCCCACTCAACCCATGCAAATTGCCTTAAAAAGTCTTGCACAATTTTAGTACTTTATTCCTTCCTTGAGTTCCTATACTCCAAATATTTCAATTGCCAGTAGTGTGGTGGTTAAAATATTTGCTAGGTTGTATAGTTTTCATTGTAGGAAATTGATCCATATTTCCCACACAAAGAAAAGTTATAGAAGAGTCTATAGGTTTAGATTAAGGAACATGTTCTTCAGAAAGCCACATTGTCAAACAGAACAACTGGCCAAGTTTTGGAGAGGAGAATACAGGTTAGGTTGAAGATGGAGCAAACTCACTTATTAGGGTTAAGCTAAAGTTTGACTATAGCCACAATATTTCAGTTTGAAAACTATTGTCTTCATATTCATTTTACCAAACATCTGCAGTACATAGTGAAATTTTGCATGTAGAACTTTATCAGGGAAGACACAATAAGTAAATATGCAAAACCACAAACACCAACCCCAAATCTTATGTTAAAAGCTCGTTATACTGTAGATTTCAAATGGAAAAAGCAATGAAATTCAACAGAAATCTGAATCTCTTCCGGGACATTTTTATGACCCACTGTTAATTGCTAGCTGTCGTGTGTTTCAGGTTTGTATTTTCCCAGATTTATAGAGTTTAGCGGCAGTTCAATAGTTTTTTCACAAAGATAAACATCCACATTAGAGTCTAATAAGAATTGATCATTTCTTTTTCCATTGGTGTAAATCAGAAGTAACTCTATTGAAGCCGATGGAATTACACAAGTGTAAGGAGAATTTGGCCCACTTTCTGTAAACATTGTACCACACTGGTATACGGCACAGTACCTTAATGTATATATAAGCCCAGTTATAATGGGCCAGAGTTTCAGTTGTGCTCAGAAGCAACCATTTAGACACCAAGTTGCGTGGTAAGATTTTCCCAAAGAGGTTAGAATGTTGGGTAGGGAGTATTTTGAAAATCAGGCCAAATAAATGTTTGTCCTGGGACAACTCTACCTCTTAAGAAGGCAGAAAGGATGGTTTTGGGTTTACGTTCTGAACTAGAGTTAGACAATCTGGATTCTTTTCGGCCACAGCGCTCCTCAGTAGCTTTGGGTAAAATACACGCAGTATGTCTTCACTGCTTTTTTAAAAAGGGGTAGGGGAGGGAGGGTTCATAACTCAGGTTAGCTAACTCAAATTAAAATCGCAGCGACAACGTGTCAGGTCAGTTTTTAAACTCGGGGGAGCATCTTGAGTTCCACCCCAGGCTCCCTTATAGGCTTTAATTGAGCTACCAAGTTAAAAGCCTCACTACCGGGTCTTCACTGTTATTTTAAGCAGATTTCAGAGTAGCAGCCGTGTTAGTCGGTATCCGCAAAAAGAACAAAGAACAGGAGTACTTGTGGCACCTTAGAGACTAACAAATTTATTAGAGCATAAGCTTTTGTGGACTCCGAAGAAGTGGGCTGTAGTCCACGAAAGCTTATGCTCTAATAAATTTGTTAGTCTCTAAGGTGCCACAAGTACTCCTGTTCTTCCTGTTCTCTAAATGACTGCAAGATGAAGTTACAGATTTAGGCCTGGGCCATGTTTTGTGTGAAACACAAATGGTGATATTTAAAAAAAAA